AAATTTTCTCTTTCTCCTCTCGTCACTCCAGCTTTTGTTTTGGGCGAGTGCGAAGATTTTGCTTATGCCAAATACTTTTGCACAAATTAGGGAATGTGAAATGTTCGGGAAGAATGCAAAGAAAAACGAAAAAAAAAAATCCGAGCTTGAATTTTAACTGTATATAAACATGGGGCTGAACCTGATTATGCAGGCTCGTGATTTTACAAACGATGATACGTTGCTGTGCCACTGTGATTTTCTCCCTCTCTCTATATCCTTCTTTTTTGCCTGAGATGGCTCCTTTCGGCAACGACATTTAATGGAATATTTAATTTGGTTTTTTCTATTCCTTTTTTAAAAAAAATGGGGAGGAAATACCGAGCGAAAATTGAGAAAATTCACAAAGCAAACACTAATGTAAAAATAGCGAAAATCTCGTTAAGATGCTCGATTTTTAATTATTTATCGCTAACAAGAAAATACAATTTTAGCGCACCAATCACCATTGAACGCCACTTTTTTTAGGAGAAAACCGGGAACATGTTTCGCTTTCTTTTGTTTTGTTCGCTCTTAACTCTCAATTTTGTGATAGCGGTGATTCATTTTGCGTTGCCATGAGAAATTGAAATAAGGTCGATGTTTCATCGATATGCATTAAGATGGAAGAAATGAAATGGAATTTATTCCTCAAATTGCTTATCATGAACACAGTCAGGATATGAGATACATTCACCGTTTTTGAATCATAAAACTTTGATAAGATTATTCATTTCCATTCTATGGAAATAACATAGAATCGAAGCGACTGAAAGCACAGACTGATTTGCGCTCTTTTGATGATTGCATAAGATGTACAGTGATAATTTCCACTTTCACGCATCGAATCAACAACATTAAAAAACTTTTAAAAATAGAAACAGATTCAACAAATATGAGAAATGACCTTTTTATATGCGTACTTTGTACGAAAATCAATCAAATTTTCAATGATGGAAATGTATTTATTTCATTGTCAAAATAGTTTGATTAACAGTATAGCCACCATTGATACTTGTGAGTCATCAGATTTAATGCAACAAAAGTGGGTGTGAGAGAGAGAAATGTTGACAACGTGAAGTGATTCTTCGAAGCATTCATTCTGATTTTCGTTGAAGACGAGGCACTCGTCTCGGTTTCCGTTCCACCCAAACGTTTGTCTAGCCAAAATTCGTGGAAATGTTTTCGATTCGGCTTTTTTTGGCACTTCGCTTTTCTTTGCGTTTTTTGCACTGATCAATTCATGATTTTAATGAATTGGAATTCACTGAATTAATAAATCATAATCGTATTTTTCGGCCATTGAAAGGAAAAACCAAAAAATATGTTTTGATCGCATTCTATTTTAATTTTTATATGCGTGGGAGAAGCGATGAGAATAATTCATATGAAATAGTAGTCTACATTTTTAAAACTTGTTCATTTATAAGTGCATAAGACGATATGCGCAAAAATAAAACAAAATAATGGATGCTACCTACCTATCAGTCCGGCTCTCTCTCTCTATATCGCTCATATGTATATGTGAAAATATTTACCATTCCTTTTCTCGTCCTCCTTTACCCAAGTAGAATACAACAAAGTAAATGCGATAAGAAATGAAATGAGATGAACATAAAAAAAATGGAGTCGAATCGAGTCGAATCAAGTCGAACGGAATGGAGTGAGAAAAATTAAATAAAAATGGAACGAAAAGAAAAATTAAAATGAAAAATAATGTGTATACGCAAAGCACATCTATTTGATATCCAATTCACATGCAATGTAATACATATACATACAAACAACATCAATTTTTTATCATATGAATCAAGAGGTAGAGATTGAGTGCAAGAGAGAGAGAGAATTTTTAAGTTCAACACATCGTTGCTCTGCTGCAAAATAATGTAGATAGAAAAATTCGATGGACGACAACGACGACAACATCGTCGACGATATGGATAAGCGACGACCCTGCAATGGAAATGGCGAGAGAAACAAACCCATATTGTCTGTACGATGTATAATTGTATTGGAGCAGGCAAAAGAGTTAGTAGCGCATCGAGGAGAATTATTATTTTGGATGACGCGCGCGCATTCGTTACATGATTCTTGTGTGTGCTATGCTCCATGTGGAAAGTGTCTCGCTGTTTTTTTTTTCGGTTATATTTATGAGAGGTACTTTGTCGGCATCAAATAGAGTATATGCGAATGAAATTCTCTGGTTACCAACTGTCGATAGTGTGCTGATCATAATTTTATTTTTCTCTCTCTCTCTTTGTGTGTCGTTTACTTCTCTTGTTACTGAATAACCACTTTTACTGCTCTCGAGATAAAATTTAATGAACATATGCGAATAATCTACACAAATAGCGAAAGTTTTTAATTAACTTTTTGAAAGCATCACAAACTTGTGTCTCTCATAAAATGTGAGCACATTCATTTATGTACATAAATACTTCGATAACTATGGTAAATTTCCAGAGGAGTTTCTATGTGCTCCGAATTTCATCGTACACTTGTTTCTTCTAATTTATAAATTAAGAGAAGAAAAAAAGCGGAGAGCAAACGGAAGAGAGGGAGACAAATAGAGATTGAGAGAAAAGGAAAATGGTGGACGAGCTAATTGGATAGAAACGAAAACGTTTTTCATTAGTAGGCGATGTGATAAAAGTATTTTCGGGATTGGCCGCCTACAAAACATAGGTAGTTTGAGAATGTTGTCGCTCGCGTTTATTCTATGTTTGGCATTGTGCCGACAGCACGCTCTCTCATTGATACGAATGGTGTAAAGTATACCCAGTATTTACTTACGAAGCGAGCGCGGGAGCGTTCTCCTTTCTCTCTCACCCTCTCTCTGTCTCTCTCTGTCTCTCTTGCTCTAGCTCTCACTCTCTTCCACTTTATGTTATATATGTGTTGGTATTGGTTACGCGCACGGTTACATATACGGTACCGTTGTCTCTCATTGGTGTGTTACCACCCTTTTTTGCCGTTTGTGTATAAGTCCTTTTAACGAGCCGTTGTTTCATTTGATTATTTTATTTTCACTGATGTAATTACGCCAAAGGAATCGTTACTACTATTTTGCAATGCGCACACTTGAGCGCACTCTTTCCATTTTCATTTTATCCATCTCTCATTATATCGATTTACACGCCGTTTGTCTGGTTGTGTTCGGTGAGTGTATGCCATTCTGTGCTGTACACTGGTTCGACATTCTGGTCCCAGGCACCACACTGTATCTTTTCGCTCGTTTTCGCCTTTGTGACTAAATTATTCGGGGCGCCACACACCAAGCTAACACTAGCATTCGCATTCGCACCCGCATTCGCACTGCTTCAGTTAGATGAAGCACGTTTTGTTACACAACTCTCTGTTCGATACTGTGTGTGACTCTCTGGCTCTGTCTTTCGCACCTACAACTGAGACGAGAGAGAATAAAAAAAACAACAGAACAAAAAAATAACAAAAATACGACACTCTCTCGCTGAAATCATAACACTGGAGTGGATAAAAGTTGGGTACAGTCTCAAATCGCATCGTATCGTATCGCATTCACTCCATTACATTATACATTATGTACCACATCTCCAGCATCATCACATCAATTCGCATATACATATTTCCAATTTGGCATTTGTTCGTTCGTATCATTGGACTTTTTTTTACGTTTTGTTTTTGTTTTTTCCCTCGATTTTTATGCCGTTTTTGCTGTTGTTGTTGCGTTCATTCGGTTTTTTGTCTTTGTGTATGTGGCGGTGGTGGTCTATTCTCACTCTGAATTCAAACTTAACGGGAGTGCTAGCAAATGCAAACATTAATTCACATAGCACCACAAATACGTGCACAAAAATATCAAAAAATACAAACAGGCGAGAACGATCCCTATTCAGATTTTTGTATATAGAGCACATCATGCCCCATCAACAGTAGATAGCATTTAGGTGGTGCCATTAGTAAGTTAATTATGTCTATATTATGTATTTAACGAAAATGAGCGCGCTCAGGAAAAGTTTGAACTATGTATTGTATAAAAGAAAAATCTTCAGATCGAGAGCGATTTTTCCATAATTTTTTCTCTTCTTTGCTGCTTATGTTGCTTCTTTGCTGGTTTCAATCTCCTCCTGCCGTGGAGCTTCGCACTTTTCCCGTCCAAGCTCACTCTTTACCATCGTTCTTTTTTCTCTTCATTTTCTCTCTCTCTCTCGCCCTCTTCCTGCATTACATGTATGTATAATGTATATATAAATGATGTGTTTCGACTATATAATAATTTGAAGTTAACAAAAAAAAGAACACACCATACTAGCTGCTTGTCAATGTGTGTATATATAATATAAATCGCTTTTTCAGGCATTTTTCTTCTTCATTTTGAGCTCGAGATGGTGATGCTAAATGCGTCAGTAGTCTTAGTCAAGAACCACCCGAAAATTAAAATGAATGAACGAACTGAGAACAAAATATTTGAAATTATTATTATATCAATTAGTTAAGAAGCGGGCGGAATGGAATATATCGCTTTCCGTCTTTTGAAATCTATGCTGAAATCTGCAACCCTAGATCCACATTCAAGCCCAAGTTCCATTTAGCTTACATCTAAATCATGTATAAATTTTAATTTCACTCTTTCCCTCTCATGCGTTACATACGAAAATTCATTTTATTTCCGTTCGCCATTTTCGAGTGGTGTGTTTTTTACGAATCGGCCCCTAAAAAAGCGAACGACGCATTTATGATGTGCGTTCATTTACGGCATAAACATAAAAATGGTTTAATGCGTATTTTGTGTGCTTTTTTTGGCGATAGAAAAAGCATTCAAATGATAAAGAATCTATGTTGTATATATTTTTTAATTTTGATATGGTTCGTTCCACTTGAAGAAACAAAAGATAAATATCTTTCACTTTGAGTGTGATCTTTTGCTCGAAAACCATCATAACCATTGTGAAATAACAAAAACAAGACTAATTTCTTTTATTTTCTGTCTCTTTTTTTTCCAGAGTTTTTCATGCGTCTGCCAGTCTTATCCATTTGTATTCGTCGCCACTGTATAGAATATCAAAACGGTACGTGTCAATCATATTTATTTAAGATGATAGTAGAGTTTTTCATGAACTTTGTTGGACCGTTGCTATTGTTTAATTTTCGGTTTTGTTTATTTTAAAATGGGGCCATTTAAAGTCCCCTTTTTTAGCACGGAAAAACAGTTTAGCTGTTAATCTATATGTATAAAGTTAGTCGTAAGGTAAAATATCTTAATTCACTCGTAAGACTTTTGATTTCTTTCGTTCACCCCTTTTAAACCGAAGCATAATTCCAAGTTTTCATTTCCATTTAATCTATTCGGTAAAAAAAAAGTGTGCAGCGATTGGGAATGGGCGTCCTTTTGCTCAGAGACACTTGAAAATACTTAATCCAAACAGCCGCTTAACACAAATGTGTGTGTGTGTTATGGGCGATGAAGTGCGTTATTAAGGACAAACCAAAAACGCTTTTCCAATAAATCAAAAATTAACAATTAAATGAAAAAACGCGGCGCCGGAAAATAAACCACAGCTCTAAAACTTTTTCATTTGGCTGTGGGTTTGTGTGATGAGACAGACACACGATGACTCAGGAGAGATATGAAAAATAAAGAACGATATTAAAGAAATTAGTCAAATAGAAATGAAAATAGAATGTCAAATATATAAATAAAAGAAAGAGAGAAAGAGAAATGAGCAGCCCTTTTCAAGTGCGCTTTTATATTTTATTCGTGTCTTTCATTTCGCACATTTTATATTTGAAGTCGCGCCCGTGGTTCTTTCATACTTTTTTCCGCTAGGAAATTGGGCAATTCATTTCAGTTTTCTTAGCGCGTCGTCAATTTACTTTCCTCCCACCAGTAAAAGAAATGAAAAGAAGCACCAAAAAAAAAAAGCTGTGATACAAGACATTTCACTGCATTTATTTGATTGTCGTCTCAAGAAAATGCGACGAAGAAAAAAAAATATCATTTCAAACATTGTGTCGAGACGCACCGGGATATTTTTTCTTCTTTTAATTCCTTCATTGTGGGTATGGAAAAATGAATTCTTTTCACAAACAAAAATTCAATGGTTTGATATTCAGACTTTTTGTCTGTGTTAGAGCTTCTGTGTGGTTGTTGTTGATGTGTCCGCGTGTTTGTATCATCACACTTTTTAGCAAAAACAAATGTGGACTATCCAAAAATATTACAGTTTGGTGTGCGCAAAAAAAGGGCCAACACCAACATACAAAACCGCACGGAGGAAGTCAAAAATGCCCGAAAAAGTGAGCAGAGCATATCGTTTGAAAACCTCAAGTGAAACGTGTAGATATTTGTCAATAAAGGGCGATGAATGAATTATACGTTCTTTTTACTATTTCAGACTCTCTCACTTTTTTTCGGTCGTTGTTATTTGGTCGATGGTTTTATCGTAACGCATTTAGAACTGGCTCGTCTTTCTCTCTCACACTCTCTTCTCTCTTTTTTGTTGATTTTGTCATAAAAATCAATACACTCTGCACGGATGACCTATACATTTTGATTTTTTTCTCGGTCGTTTCATTGCTTTAACATTTGAGCAATCGATTTTTCATGGCACATCAGGAAGGCGCGCGCGGTGAATGGACGACATCGATGACAAGAATTGTGCTGGGAATTATATATATATATATTTGACTTTTACTATGTACGGACACCGTTGTGTCTCTTTTTTTGTATACAGACAACCTGGCAAATTTTCGGCGTATGCACACATTCATATAGATATAGCGTATAACATCCTCAATAAACACTTATTTTTACGTCGTTTGACTTTTTTTTTTCATTTCGTATTTTTTCTACGTCGAAATCGGTTGGTTCAACTTTGGTCTGCCTTCAATTTTTATCGATCAATCTTGTTTACTTTCGAGGCTTTTATTCTGATAATGATGTTGTTGCACAATATTATATAAGTAACATTATCCCTGAAAAGAAAATCGATGTCGGACATTTTTCAGTCAGAAATTCGATTCAATTCATGAAAAAAATACGTTACAAGTGCTCATATTATTGCCGCTATTCGGAATGGTAAAAGCTGAAGCTGATTTTGGGAAATGCAAAAATGATTTAAATTGTTAACTGTTTCCAAGCTTAATATGAAAATCATGTCGAATTTAAAAATGATATTGATGAAATGAGAGCACGACACAAACGTAATAATTACACATTCATCATGTGAAATATAAAACCCACCAAATTCGAATATGAATTTTATAAGTGAAAATTCTAAATTTTCACACCGATACACACACACACGCATATACACATTTCACCATGGGATTTACAATTTTCACATGGATCTCAATCGGATAGTTCAATCAACCAACCGAAAAAGCTTTGTGTCGTTTCATTCTTTTATTTTCATTCTGTGCGGTCATTGCCAAATGATGAATATTAGAAAAATTGAACCAAATCACAAATTGACATTTAGAAAATGAACATCAGTCAATTGGATATGGTTTTGTACATAAAAAATTCTCATTTGCTTTAACATTTTCTGCGAACGAAAAATTCGTATGAGTCTTTTGTTAAGGTTGGCATTGGAATGAATAGCAAGCAGCACAAATGCTGAATTTGAAATAATCCACTTTTTTAGTTCAGTTCAGTTATGCTTTACATATTTAATAACACTAATAACCAAACTAATGAAATTTTCCATTTTTTTGCTGCTGCTGCCTGCTGTTTTTACTGCCACACGAAATTATCTGCGACGAATTATTCAAGAACTTATTTTGTCGGAATGGTGCAATTTTAGTTTGTTCACGTGTTTGTTTTTTTGTGTTGTTCTTTCTCTATTTTCTTGTCCAGATTAAGTTTCAAAATTTGAGTGATTTGAGTTCGATTGGCTAATTGCCATAAAGAATGAATTTCCTTGGTTATAATTCAATGTGCATTTGAATTATTAGTTTTTTTTTCGTTTGTAAATTTCATTTCTTTTATGGTTGTGTATTTTTTTCACTCTATTCCTATCTCTCTCGCACATTTCGTCTATAAAATACAACATAGAGAGAGAGAGAGAGAGAGAGAGAGAGAGAGAGAGAGAGAGAGAGA